CACCTTACCTTTTGAGCAACTTTTTGATAGCTTCTGTTTTGGGTCATTGCTGCCCTTCAGGCGCTGAACAGAAGGAAACCTGTTCCTCAAAAAAAAAAAAAAAAAAAAAAAAAAAAAGAGAGGACATCTTCAACATTTCTTTGCTTGCATAGTGAGCTAATAAAAGGATAAATGGGAGGTATGCGCATCAAGTTTGCAACCGTGATACTGCATGCTCATAAAAATGCTTAGGCTATTCCATTCAAATTTTGTGGTGTATACCTACATTGTACATTCCTACTACTGAAGTGTATATGATGTTTGGGGGAAATAATGCCTTTTTCAGCACCCTCTTGTTCATGTTTAATGTATATTCGTCGGTGACTGGAGGCAACCAATTTGGTGGTAACTCTGTTTTCACTGCATGTGATGATTATAGTTTCTTGTGGCTTATATTTTTACACCACTTTTTTTTAGAATACGTCCTTGTGGCTTATGTAACTCACAGATTATTAATAGGCACAGTTAGTTGAGTAAGATCTCACTGTTTATTTCATTTTTTGGTTATATGGCGTAAACATATTAAGGATGGAAGTGAATGAGGTGTTTCAAGGTACTATGAAGTCGCATTTTACTGCAATTCTGTTGTACAATAGCACTCCTATGTAAATATTTATTTCAATGAAAAAACTGTTAGTATCTGTTTCGATTGCATTCGTAATCGGTATACCGCACCTCGAGCAGCTGTACAAGTCTTTTGCGCAGCAGAATCTGAGGGGGCCTTTGGAACGCATCAACTGTATGGAAATTTCTCAGAAATTCATTCATTTTCACAGGAAAAGCTCAGGAAAATGGAAATTTTCCCTTGCATTCCAAAGGGTCCTAAAAGAGAAGATTTTACCTTGAACATTTTGCTAGAACAAGAAAGTTTGATAACTTGCCAACCAAAGCGTGGCAAAACAAAGAGGGAAGCGGTTAGAATCCTGGAGCAGTTGACCCAGTGCCGGCAACAACTCGGATAGGAGCTCGCCTGCCGACTGCCGTTACATCGGCGGGGGTTGTGCTCCTCCAACCCTTAACGGCGAAACATGCTCAGGCACCGCCATCCTCCCCTGGCCATCGTCCGTTGTTCCATCTCCTCCCTCCGCGGCCTGGCGCTGGCCACAGAAAAAGGAACAACTAAAGAACACTGGGAGCGAGCTCCGTCGCATCCACCGCAGCAGCAGCTCCGCCCCTCCTCGCCGCACCCGCCGCCGCCGCAGCCTCCCAGCCTCGTCCGCCCACCGCTGCAGTAGCTCCGCCCCTACCCGTCGCATGCACCGCCGCTGCAGCTCCAGCTCGACACCCCATCCCATCAGACGCCTGATCTACCAATCGGCTAGCTTCCCTCCGTTGTTCCACGCTCGTCCCATCGCCTGCTTGTGGTCCTGCGTTGTGTCCCATGGATACAGGTTGAGCGCGTGGTGGCCGTGCTGCCGGGGGGCGGTCCGCTGCCAGGCTCGGGGTGCTCCTACGCCGCTCCCCGTGGACCACCTTGCACCATGCCTGTGTCATTCCCTGCAGGAGATTTGTCGACACCGCATCTACGAGCCGGCGACATGGGGAAGAGCAGCAATGCAACTACAGAGGGTATCAAGATCGCATCAGGAGAATCAGATTGCAAAGTAGCCAAGTCGTTCCTTCCAGATCTTGCCACTGATTTGAAGCATCTCTTGGAAGCCAACCAATTCGAACTTGAACAGGCTGGGGGGAGGACTGTGGAAGCATTTCAGGACCCCTTGCTGCAAGATATCCTTCTACGACATACACCTCCTCCCCAAGCTTGGGATCCTCTTGCTGACAACAACATCAATCAATTTGAGCCCAACATTCAAGTGTTTGAAGATAACAAGAGGAAGGAATGCTCCTACCTTCAAAAGGACAAGCAAAAGGCTACCTACTCAAAGGACCAACATCCAGGCTAGTCTGTGGGAAAGCTTTCAAGCCAACATCTTTCAAGTTCTTCAGATGTTCGTTTTGCCTGCCCTAATCATCACTCGGCGTGGCATGCCTCCGGCTCCCACCTTGCCACCATGCAGGAGAAGACTTGTCAGTCTGCTCAACCCAAGGAGTCTCTGGTCATACCGAGAAGTTTGGCTTCTCTATTGGGTCTCAATCACTTTCACAAGTCACAAGATACAGCTACAGCAGGGCCGTCTCAACCACCCTCTCCATAATTCCATGCCATAGAGGGAAATTATGCATGGTCATCGATCAGAGCTCCTCCCACCAACGGGAGGAAGAAGGAACAGTGTCAGCCAAACCCACTTTCAAATCTGCACCAATCAGATAGACAGAGGAAATTCCTTGAGCACGTTAGAGGGCGCTGCCTTAATTGCCTATCTATTGACCATCGCGTGGCCACTTGCTGTCGTAGAACAAGATGTTGGCGCTATTTAAACGAGGGTCACAGATCCTTCTCCTGTCCTAGGCGCAGACCTCACCACCACAACCGGATTGTGGAGGACCATGAGTTGTGTCGGTGAGGGCCCGTCGATGACTTCTACAACTCTATAGGTCGTCGTCGTGGCAGGGGCGATCTTCATGGGTCTCCTCCTCCTTGCTCTAGTCCTTCACCCCCCCCTATGTGTACTGGGTTGCATAAGGAGGCCTTATCTGCTTTGGCTCATGGAAACGACTATGGCTACGATAGGAGGAAAAGGAAGATAACCAAGCACGTCACCTTTGCAACTCCACTCTTCAAGGTTTGCAATGATGAGTTGCCAACACTTTACGATGACAACAACTTCCTTTTCTTGGGTAACGCCTCTACTCCTGGCCAGAGCATTTACTCATATGTTGTTTGAGTCACATATCTCTATGTCACCAATAGCCATCCCCTGTTCAACATCATCACCATCAGTACAGGTTAAGAGTAGAATCCTAAAGATGCTAGAGGTTGTGGCTGATTGTGCATGGTTTACTCCAACAGTGGGTGCCACATCAACCATGGAAGACGACCAAGTGACCTTGTTTGAGAGAGAGAAGGTTCCATTGAGAATACAGGAGGGCACTACAGGAGACGCACCTGAAGAAGTACAGATAAACGGCTCCATCACGGTGTTCCCACCACCACTAGAGGAGTTTACTGATCACCTAGTTCACCCACCAATAAATGAAAAGATAGAAGTGACTAAAGAATTATTGGTGTATAGGAGCAGGAAAAAGAGCGTGAGCAAAGAGGAGCATGAGACACGCAAAAGTGATGATGGCAATATGGTGCCATCACCAATTCCACAAGAGGTTCATGTTGCGGCAACGCCTCTACTCAACAGGGCTACCGGGCTACAAGACTCTGAGCAAGTTGTGCAAACACAATCACTAACAAGAACTCCAATTGTTGAGAAGCTACCTGAAGATATCATGACTATTGAGCAGTTTATTGACCATATCACTTTACTAATATCAGCACCTTTGTTGCAATTGCCACCAAACTTATCAGAGTATCAGACGGTGAGCAAACACAAACACCGACAAGAACTGAGACAGTGACGATGCAAGATAGCTAACAAAAAAGTTGCAGACTAGCAGAGAAAGCAAAGAGAACACCAGGGAAGAACTCAATGCAACTAGCACAAGATGTGGTTGCTAAAAAGTTGGGGGGTCCATCTCCTTCCTCAACTGATGCCTCAAGCTCTGATGAGTTTAATCGCTTAGCGCAGTACTTGGACCGTCCGCTAACCAAACAGAGCATGGAGGCACTCACGGCCCTAATCGAGCATGGGCAGCCCAAGAAGGTGAAGAAAACTCGAATGAGGGTGGCGTAGTTGGAAGTTTTTTTAGGACAGTCCGGTCAAACTTGCCTTCAACCTGTTAACTCTCTACCTCGCTTTAGGGATTCTAAGTCTAGTGTTGTTTTCGATCAGAGGTGGTGGTGTTTCTTCTTAGTTGTTGGTGATCTCTGTGTTGTGTTTCTTTTTCTAGTTGTCAGTTAGTCGTTTCCTCCCCATTGCAGTTATTATGCTTGTTTTTTCTTTAGTTTGTGCAGCTAAGTTGCTAGTTAGGTCGCTTTTGACCAAGTTGGATCAAGGTCGAGTAAGTTGTGGGGCAAAATCGTTATTTGCTTAGACGATGTTTCCAATAGTTGGTCAAGATTAGTGGTGCACTTTTTCTGGTTTTTGGGACTAGATCAACCCTGTATTTTTATTTTCTTCGTCAAATAAAAATGCGGTAAAGCTTTTGCCGTCCCTACTTAAAAAAAAAAGAACACTGGGAGCCGGTAAAGCTGGCTTCTTGGGCTCTTTGCCATCAAACCAAAGGGAATAAGGGATTATGCAAGATTACATAGGAAGGGTACTGCTAACCTCCGATACCTCCGATCAGCCCAGAAGTGAGCCTTGGCATTTCGCCAAGTGCAGGCGTCTGCCATGGCCGCTGCAGCGCTGCTCACGCCTGCCCATTCGCGCAAGATTACAAATGCATGCCCCACGCAGAAAAACAAAGACAAGCAGGACACAAAGCTACTACAAACCACAAAAAAAAAAAAACTGTACACGGCAATAAATAAATAAAATAAAATCCTTTAAACCGCTGCGGAAATTCTCCGCCAGCAGCTGAACCACGAAATACTAACTTGCTCTACAGGCTAAAAGTTCACTGCTTACGACGATATGGTATTTGACATCCAGTACAGTCAAGAGAGCACCCTAAACTACATTATTCTTGTTATTATATTACAAAGCAATGGCCATCTCGGGACGGCGCCGCGAATGGGTCACGAGCTGCAGCAGCTGCATCAAACACCCAACACTCCACCAGCATGTCACCCAACTCTCCCCGTAGCAGGCTGCGCGAGCATGAACCACCGATCCACACCACAGTTATGCACTGGACACTACAAACAGGAGAACCAGCCTGGTAAGTAATTTGACACGCAGGCATATGTCACGACACAAAAGAAATACTACCATTTTACTTGCAAATTCATATAAGAGAGGTTGTAGGTAACCAAAGAACTGACATTCAAAGACAAACTACCTGTGTCATGTGCCCAGGTACGGCATCAAGTCCTCGTCGTCCACCAAGTCATCAAAGTTGAGCATCGGACTACTGAAAGGAACGAGGCTGAAAGGAATTCCACCAAAAGTGCTGTCTCCGGCATCGCCGAAGAAAGGATCGTCCATGAGCTGCTGGTGGGTCTCACCAACGATTGTCCCAGAATTCCCACTGCCTGCCGTCGGGAGACTGTAAGAACCATTCGCGGCGAGAGCACCTGTCCCCATGATAGGCGCTTGGTGATCCATAGGCAGTGGTAGTGGCTGCTGCATTGCCAAACCCTGATGAACAACTGGTGAAGGATTAAAACCAATAGGCCCAAGACCAATATCCTGCCGAAAGGAGTGTCCAGACCATGAATTGGCAATATCACTGCCTTCACAAGCCAGGGGATGGTCGCCCAGATAAGTGCTTGATTGAGCAGCACTTGCAGCCTGGTTGCTGTTGTAGTTGTTGATCACAGCACCAGGAGATAGAAAATTCCCTTGACAATCTCCGTGCTGCTGCAAAGCTCCAATTGTAGGGGCATGGTTAGGGCTCGTTGGCTGGTTAGTCATGCCCAACACATCAATCGGGTCAATAAAGTCCATATTATCAGCTGCTTTGCACACTACTTCTGGCTGATTGTCATTTCTTTGTGTCACTTCAACCTCAACCTCAGCAACTGGAGGACGGGCTGAGGGCCTTCTCTGCTGTCGAGATTTAGGTTTAGTCGTTTCTTCCTTGCTAATAGCTAGTTGGTTGGAGGGTTTATCCTGACGCTTTCTCTTAGGCACTCTAGTTGAGGTCTGCTTTCCTCTAATCTGCAAAACAGGCTGAGCATCTCCCTCATCATCTTTGGATGATGTAGAACGAGGAGGCTGCTCCAGGCGGTCGACATCATACTCGTCACTGCTGCTATATATGCCCTCAGTTCTGTCCTCTGAAGTACTATGCTGGGCAATCGGTAGTACAGCACTGCCAAAACTGTGAATAGACTTCTCCTCACGTTGTAAAACACCAAGCCAAATGAGGCTCTCTTTTGCAGTCATTTTGTCCTGCAGACACTTTGATTTCCTTACACGATTTCTGATCTTATCGAAGTTTGGGGCCATGTGCTTGATCACACCCGTCAGAACACCAACTTTCCAAACCTTCTTCAGATCATGTGGTTTCCTGTACGGAGGCGCTTCTCCCTTTGGAAGGCCCAACGCAGGCCACCATGGCTCATTCCCTGATGGCCACCAAGGGGGCGGGACACCCTTATCCAATGGATAGCTTCGCTGCTGTGGGCTGCAGTGTTGCATCAACGCTGAAAGTAATGAACCCAGAGTGCCATCTTGGAGGTCCATCAGGCTATGCTGGTTCATGGCTCCACTGCTCTTAGGATTACTCAGCATCGAGTGCTCAACCTCGTATTTTACAATCTCTGCTGGCCCATTCTTATCAAACTTCACCTTCTCCTTCCACCAGGCCCTAATGTTATCCGATGCACCACTAACAGGCTTCCCTTTCTCAGGAATAATCCCGTACACGAACCCCCGTGCATTGCACACCTCCATCAGCTTGAGCATGTACTTCAGAATCCCATCCTGAGCCCTCGTCATCTTCTTCCGGAGAGCTTGATCTGAAATCTTCTTTGTCTTGGACTTCTCCAGCTCCAACCGCTGCAAAGCAAGCTTCTGCTGCCTCTCCCTGATCCTCTTGAGCTTGACCTTGTCTTTCCACATTCGCCGGGCAAGCTCTTCAGCATCAATCTCCTCGTCACTGACATCATTCTCGCTGAGGTTGTCGATGCCATCAACCTCGAAATCTGTTGCGTCCCCTAACTCGGACGCAATAATAGCAAGATGGTCCGTCATGATCACTTCAAGCAGTCAGCTTCCTTAACCAAGTTGCATCACACCATCAAACTTCCAGTACTCAGTTGCTTTGTATCCTCGCTCATCAAATATCCGATTGAAGAATCTATCGCAGCAACCTGCCCAGTATATGCATGTGGTCAGAACCTTTTTTAAAAAAAAAAAAATACTAGAACGCAAGTCACTAAGGAATAGTCTTACGAATGAAACTAAACAGGCTATGTTTTCTGGCAATCAGAACATTTTAGCACACTGCAATGATCGAACTACACACAGTAGGCAAAAATGAAAAATTAACTAATCCGATGCAGTCAGTTCAATGGGGACTCGGAGCAACCCTCGCAGAATCGCAGTCCAAAGACATCCATAGCACTGCTCGAGCGAAAACTACATGCATGACACCTAGAAAAAATAAATCGATATTATTCTACAAACACGACCATTGTCCGAAACAAAAGGAACTTGAACCCGAAAACCAATCCAACGACCGCACCAACCATCCCCAACTACCCAAAGATCCCTGGACTACCTCGGTCGACAGAGCAATCCGAATCCCGAACGAACCCTAACCCACGCAGGGAGCGGAGGACAGGCACGATTCACCGCCCGTCGACACCGCCAAAGCACTCCCCGAGAATCAATCGCAGCCGACAACAGGAACTGCTCCAACGAAGCCGTCGATTCGTACCTTGTCGAGGGGCGGACACGGACACGGACACGGACGCGGCGGCGGCGGAATCCGCGAGGAGGATTTCGCGGCCGGGTTCGGAGGTGGGTTCGCGTCGCGCCGCCTCCGCTGCGGCTGGTTTTTATTTGGGAGGAAAATTGGAAGGAGCAGGGCGGAGCGGCGGCGGTGGGAACAACACGCACGGCACGGGCGCGAGGGAGAGCGTGCGAGCCAAAAAGGCAACCCGCATTCGTGACGCGACGAGCCGAATTTTATTTTTATTTCCTTATATAATAATTTTTCTATAAATAATATAGGTAGAAATAGAAATACAGCAAAAACACGGTTGGTGGACATGCATTTGTAGTAAAAAAAAAACAGAGAAACAGAAAGACAGTTGGTGCTGGGATGCGATGTGCCGCGATGTCCGTCTGCGCACAGTCGCGTGTGAGGTAGGCCACACCGCATCTTCCACGGAAGATCCCGAACTACTGAGCTGTGTCAGCCGTGATGCTGTTGTTATTTTTATACCAGTACTCCTAGTTTCCTAGTTTATAATAACAGCAGAATTTCTTTCTATAAATGTAGAAAAGAATTGTTTGATTTTTTTAATTTGAATTGTTTGATTTTTGCAGCGAAGAAAATTGTTCTGTTCTGCTTCCGTTATAACGGGCCAAATTTATCCTGGCCACAGGCATCTCTATCCTTCAAAAGCGAGAAATCGACCGTCCGCTGTGTTCTCGTGATTCATCGACGATCCAAGAAAGCTGTAGGTGCTGCGAACCGGAGACGACTTCTTGCAAATTTTATAAAAAGAAATTAAACAAATTTGTAATCAAAATTACCCGAAGAGCTCGGGGTCAATTTCTTGTGATTTGTGAACCCTCGGTGCAAGGACAGCTCATACGCGGGGAAACCAAGCTGTTTGTTCTTGTTGTGGGAGAAGAGCTGGCGTTTGGCAAACCTTCTCGCCGATCTCACGCACGGCATGACGGCGGCATTCCTGCGGTCTGTTCGGAAGGTCGTATCGTATCGTGGATTATTTATTGCTGGCTGGTTTGGTGTGAGAGAAAAACACTGTTTCCGACTGAAAATTTACGATCGTTTACGAGTAAGCGAATATGATGCTGATTCCTCTGTTTTTTCGAGACCATGGATTCACCGGATTCTGACTGTGAAAAAATGATGCTCGTGGTTATCGCCTGCCATTACGACGATGATGCACTGCTGATTCAGTGTCCACCCATTCGTCGCATCTGCATTTCCATCCACAGTAGCGGACAGAGGTTCGTTGAACCTGGACACCCTTCCAAGTGACCTGCCGTCGAGTGAAAGCGTCCAGGTTCGATGTATATGCTACAGGGACCCAACAGGAAGACGACATCGCTTGTTTTTGGGCCGAAATGTAACTTCTTAAGGCCGGCCCATATGAACGTTTACAGGGTGGATCCGCTTCCTACAGTTTTGGACCGTGTTAGTTGCATTAGGATGACTGGCCCAGGTACGAAACAGAACCACTACGTACAGCGGTACAAGGCCCGGTTGGTGTTGCACCATCTTTTTCTGCTGCAAAAAGTTTTATTTTATCTCTCAACTATTGTTGTAGTATAATCGCCCTAGAGCTAAATATAAATTGTAGAGGCTTCTGAAGAAATTTCGATGGGACCTAAATATTTTATTTGGATTTTATCCCGATCTATTTCTACATTTTCCTAGAATTTTTAGAAATTTATATACATTTTATGTGTATTAATAATCTTATTTTTTAACTAAAAAGGAGAAAAAAATCGATTTCAAAACTACTTCAAAAAGGCACAAGAGGCAATTTAAATCATTTTAAGAGTTCATAGCTATGATGTCTAGGTTTGGAGTTCGAGCAGTAAAATAAGGCTACAACGATAGTTAATGGGGCAAAATGGATTTTCCCCTTCTTTGCACTTTGATCAGCTTGTGTCTTTTTTTTATGGAAAACTCGCCTGTGTGTTACAATAGGAGCTGGTACGTCTTCGAATAAAATTTTGTACCATCACTGGATTCGAGTCGTTCTAACCTGTATGAGCACGAGTCGTGTATCCATGTCATGGGATGTGGAGGGCATAAGAGTATTTTGGAAAGTAAAAAATGGTTATAAGAATCCATTCGCTCTTTGATATTAGATACATATATGGATATAGATATAAAAACAATATACAAAATGGTATTACTGCTTATGATACCAAATAAACATCATTAGATAAATCGCGTCATATATTTTTGTAGTAAACCTATTTAAAGATACAAGTGTTAATAGTATTTTCTAAAAATCTAGTCAAACTTGAGAATGTTTAACTCCTCAAAGTGCGAAATGTGCACTTATTTTTGGACGGGGTATAGATGAAAGACCTAGTACAAGGCCAGTTTGGTCAAGCTTTGTCGTGCCTTGCTAGCAGCAGCAAGTGAGCTAAATTGGCTCTTTCTTGCCGGTTTCAAAAAAAAATTCTTGCCAACGCAAGTCTCAACACAAGTTTGCCTATCAATCAAATTATATCCTTTTTATTTTAGCTGAACAAGGTTAGGTAGACCGGGAGAACCAAACGCCCCCACTCTCTTTTGGCGACATTGTTTTGAGGTACCCTTGACGGATTCATCTTGACCTGATCTTGCTCGAACAAGGGCTAGAGAAAATAAACGTGCGCCACTCATCTTGTCAAAGCACGGAGTAAGGGCTTGTTCGGTTCCTCTGGTTTGAGCACCTGGAATAATTTTAGGTTGGAATGGTTCACTAATTATACAATCTTGATAAGCTGAAATTATTCCTGGCTCCTTCCTGGCCACTGTTGCGCCAATGACGTGGTGCGGAAGCTCGGCAGAAGAATGGTTGTCGCGGGTGGATTGACGAACCGAAAGGAGGTTGCACACTGGACTGGGCAAACCGGCCAGACCGGTTCTACAGCACAACTGCCCAGTCAAACCGGCTAGGTCGATTCTAAAACCGGACAGGCTAGTTCTACTGTTGGTTCTACACCCCAAACTAGCCAGGCCGGTTTAGAAACGGCTAGGCCGGTTCCTCTACCTCCTGTGCTAGCCGATACATCTTTCGGTGATTCGGCTCCCGATTTTGTTGCTCCAATTGTTGCTGTAGAGTCGGAGGACCCATAGGAGGATCAAGATGAAGAATTGGTGGATTATGAACCATCTCTGGAGCGCGTGGATATTAATGTTGTATATTTGTCCATCGATGGTGATTTTCTTAGAGATGATTCAAGGACGGCTGAATTTAATTTTGCTACACAAAGTGCCATCTTTGAGAAACCAGAAGACTCCGTGAATCATCTCAAGCCACTGCATGTGAAGGGCCACATCAATGGCACCCTGGTTCATAACATGTTGATGGATAGCAGGGCAATTGTGAATTTAATGCCATATTCACTTTATAAGAAGCATGGTGGCACGGATGAGGAGTTGATTAGGACCAACATGACCATCAGTGGTGTTGGTGGTGGTGAGCCAATTCCAGCAAAGGGTGTTGCATCGATGGAGCTTACAATCAGAAGCAAGACATTGGCTACCACTTTCTTTGTTGTAGAAGTACAAGGGAGCTACAACTTGATCCTTGGGCGAGATTGGATACATGCCAACCGTTGTGTTCCTTCTAGTTTGCACCAGCTCCTTATTCAATGGGTGGGTGATGAGATTGAAGTTGTCCACGCTGACTCATTGGCCCAAGTTGCTACGGCCGATGCTCCTTTGCTCGGGGGGCATGATGGTATTGCTTGTTTATCTAGACGTGACCTTACTGATTTTGAATTTATTAGTGTCATCAAGGATGGCTTTGTACCCGTTTCTCTAAAGCCGATTGATAATCGGCTCAATATCATCATGTAGTAAAAAATTGATGACGTCGGGCAACCCATTGGAAAAAGTTGATGTTTGGGTGGCTTCATGCCTAGGCCAACGTTTGAAAGTTGAGGCCTGGAATTCATCTATGTTGCAGACATTACGAAGCAATGGTCTCACTAGAGCAATGTACAGAAGGTGTTCGAAAAAATACTATCTAAGTGTTTGGTGCTGACCAAGCAATGGCCGATACATGTATCGCCCTTAGAACAAATATGGCCGATATACACATCGCTCTTAGTCGCTAGATAGCCGATGAGTTGGACATCGTTGCTATTCAGTTTCTTATTATGTTATCAGGTTCACCTAAAGCTTCACCTAAAAATAGGGAACATATGTTGACAACCAAAAGTGACCAAAGTTTATAATGGATTCCACCATCATGTTTCTATCGTCAAGTTGGTCAGAAAACATATTTGCATCGTCTCATTTGAAGCCCGGACGAAAGAAACGGCCT